TCAGTCYTTGAGATTATGAAATAAAAATTCGACTAAATCTCAGTGAGTGGCATTGTTTTTTGTGAGCTGACCCTCAGCTGTTACTGTCGAACTCTCAGTTTTGGCTGCAGAAAAACATTTCATAAAATCCRCCAGCCAATTAAAGTTATCATAAATCCTTACATATATTGTACGAGTACAGGCCCATAGATAAGAGCCTAATTAAAAAAAGCATTGAGTACAATGTAACAGCTGTCCGCGGCTTGATATTGACATGCTGCCGTTTGAAGGACGCGAATATAAGTACCATCTCCTGCATGACAGCTTTCGCCACGACAAGTTTTCGCTCAATAAGAGCAACAAGAGTAATCCCGAGATCACTTCAAAGCTATACTTGAATTATTTTAGCGTAATTCGATAGAGTTTCTGCTTCGTGCGACCATTGAAGCGTGAATCCATTGGTACTATCCAGAGACCAAGCAAAAGCCGGGGTGTCTGAAGACAGCGCAAACTGCCCTTTCGGTCAAAAAGTTAAAAGCTTACATTATCCGGTATTAACGAAAAGAGAACTATATGGACTACATGGAGAAGAATAAAACGAGCAATGAAACCAAATGGTACTCTTCCAAATTATTGCTCCGATTTGACGCTGAAAATGTTTATATTGACTACATGGAAAAGCATAAAACCTTGAAAGTATTTGGTTTTGAAGGAAGAATTTGCTAACTRGGAGACGAAGTGCTGCTTTATATTTAGCTCCTGCGTCGCCCTTTGACTTCAAGCTTTAAAACAGCACTCGTCAGACTGAGATTCAATGGCGAGATTAAAGCCGCAACAGAGACCTCCAGGGAATGTGTTTTTCCGATGGAAGAAGAAGTTGAACAAACGCTGGGTTGAGGATATCGARTAAACTGGAAACTATTGGCATATAAACTGCAATTTTTCGAAAAGTTTTGATTTTTCTGCACATTAAGTGCTTTTTGAGCCATCCTAGAAAAAATTCTTAGGAGAAAAGATTTCATTCGTCGGTGTTTTCTCTCAACAGATATTCCGGATAATGCRTTTTCTTCAATATTCAATCTCTAGTGAAATAGTTCACAGTAAAAAAGTCACTAAGCATTTCTCTAATTGCTTTATTTATTAATTTTTTTTTTTTCATTTTGTCAAACCGGCTCACCGGCTGCCGGTTCATGACTGACTGCCTCACGAAGTATGTTTTTCGTTGCATGTCTGCAACGCGTCTATTTGCGCTGTCCAAGTCAGACTGGCGCATGAGTCACAAATGCACRAGCGTGTGTCTGTAGATTTCTTTGGACTTTTTTTTGTTTTTTCCTTTGTGATTTTCTTTATTTTTCCACCGACTGATATTTTCTTGCAGTGATTTAGCTCGTTTCTCGCTGTCTTAGGCACTTTGTTGTTTATGATTTTATTAGCGAAAAWAAATGTTTGTTTGTGCGCCTCGTATTTTTCGCGTTCGCCATGTGTAGTGCGCACTTTTTTTCGTTTGGATTTTATTTATTAGTGCATTTTCGAACCG